CAAAGGCCCTTCGACTGCAAGGAGTCAATAACAACAATAATAACAATCAATTGTTAACTGCACTCAGCATCCCTGCGTAATCAAACAACACCAGCACCAAGTCCTCTGGGCGCATACCCTCTTCGCATGGATAGCTTGGTATGAAATGGAAGTCCACGTCGCAACTTCACTGTTCCTCGTCTCGGGCCTGAGTAAGTCTCGCCAAATTTCGCGAAAGCTTGATTGCTAAGCATAATCATCTAGCTTCGTGGAATAGCTTGATAGGCTGTATTATGGGTTTCCTGGTAAGCCGTGCGGACGTGTCCAATTGTATGTAAGGTTATTAAATGCCTCTCGCAGACTTCGTTAGCCTTGGTTGGCAGCCTGGTGCGGTCGTTTAACATGACAGAAAGGGTTCATCGAACCTTTCATGGCGTTATTGCAATCATCGGCATACTAGGCGGCACAATCCATCTCTTGCAGTCTATCTCGTGTTTGTTGCTTGTGTTGGCCACTGTATGTTTTGGGGTCACCGGAATTCACAGCCTCTGGCGCCCATACAGTATGCCAAATGCCATACTTGCCGTCGGCATTGATGACTCGCTTGACATGAAAGAAGCGGTAGAATTGAAGTTTCGGGTACCTGATAGTAAGCATGACTTTTACATCGAAACCTCCGGGACCTTTTACAGGGCAGCTTATGTCGCAGCGAGAGATAGTGGGGGGTGTGAAGCTACGGTGCTGCTCCCACGTTCGACCCTTGAAGGTAGAAAAAACCATGGTTCACTTCAATACCACGGACCTTTCCGCGCACCTCTCTCTCCCTACATATATCTGGGCGCGAAACTCGACATCATCACAACAGGTAGCGGTATTATCGAGGGGTTTTCTTGCTTTAGATGGCGGCAACGGGTTGCAGAATCTGAGAACAAAACACCGATCTCTACCAGACTAGTTTGGCTTACCACTAAGTCGTGTCCACCATATCTTTCCTATTACATGAATGATATGTCTTGGGAGAAGGAAGATGCTACAATCTTGGTTATCGTTCTTGGTAGCGAGGTGATGGGCTCGAAACACGTCAACTCTTGTTCAGATTCAATTCTAAATGAATCAATCGTTCTTGACAAACAAGATGACGATGAAAAAAGTCGTAACGAAAAGAATGCCCACGAAAAGAATGATATTAACAATAATGCATCATTACATTCATTTCAAGCTAAAATGACTATAAAATACGAAATCAACATAGATATGAAACATGCTATCAAGAAATATGTCAAAGAGCCTTCGAGACGAAGATATGGTCAGTTTGTTATTCGCATTGCTACTTCAATACTTTCACTCATTACCATGCTGATGGCTGTTTTGTTATACTAA